GAATTTCGAAAATCATAGCAACTCCCCCTCATTCACTCCAAAACCTATAAATAGGCCCCCAAGGCCTTTAGAAAACTTACACCTTCTCTTTCTTCTCCCTCTGGCTCTCTAACAGTTGATGCTTCCGCCATTTTCTAGTGGAAAATTTCCCTTGCTCAAATTAGCGCCCCTCCTCTTATGCAGGAGTTACGGAATTTTTCTTCTCCTCCCCCCGACTTTCTAACAGTTGAGGCCTCCGCTATTTACGAGTGGGAAATTTTCCCTGCTTGAATTAGCGCCCCTCCTCTCATGTAGAAGTTAGGGGATTTTTCTTCTTCTTTCACCCGGCTTTCTGACGGTTGAGGCTTCCGCTATTTTTGCGTGGGAAATTTCCCTTGCTCGAATTAGTGCCCCTCCTCTTGTGCAGGAGTTACGGGATTTTTCTTCTCCTCCCCCACGGCTTTCTAACGGTTGAGGCTTCCGCTATTTGCAATTGGGAAATTTTTCCTGCTCGAATTAGTACCCCTCCTCTCGTGCAGGAGTTAGGGAATTTTTCTTGTTCTTTCCCCTGACTTTCTGACGGTTGAGGCTTCCGCTATTTGCGAGTGAGAAATTTCCCATAATCAACTTAATACCCTTTCTCTCTTGCTGAAGTTCGAGGATTTCTTCCGCCTATCTCTTTTCTTTGAGAGATACTACGAAGTTCTAATGTCAGTTGGTTGGAGATGGAGGACGGAGAGACCGTTGTAAGGAGGAAGGTTGAAAAGACTGTGGAACTGCAGAAATTCGGGGTCGGGTAGAAATACGGCGTCAGGCAGAAGATCGATGAAAGTCCATTTACGGATAGATTTCCGACGACGAGTAAAATTTCGACGTCCGGTAGAAGTACGACGTTGGGCAGAAGACCGACGAAAGTCTATCGACGGACAGAAGTCTGACGACGGGTAGAAGTCTGACGTCCGGTAGAAGTACGGCGTCGGGCAGAAGACCGACGAATATCCATCGACGGGTAGAAGTCAGATGACATGTAGAAGTTCGACATCCGATAGAAGTACAGCGTCGGGTAGAAGTACGATGTCGGGTAGAGGGTCGACGAAAGTCCATCGACTAACAAAAATCCGACGATGAGTAAAAGTCTGCTAAAGAGCAGAAGTTCGATTACAGGGAGAAGTCTGACGTCGGGTAGAAGTACAGCGTCGGGCAGAAGACCGACGAAAGTCCATTGACGGGAAAAATTCTGATGACGAGTAGAAGTCCGCTGACGAGCAGAAGCGCGATGATAGGGAGAAGTCCGACATCAGGTAGAAGTACTGTGTCGGGTAGAAGACCGACGAAAGTCCATAAACAGGCAGAAGTCCAACGACGGGTAGAAGTCCGCTAATGAGCAGAAGTTCGATGAGAGGGAGAAGTATGACGTCGGGTAGAAGTACGGCGTCAGGCAGAAGACCGACGAAAGAACATCGACGGGCAAAAGTCCGACGACAGGTAGAAGTATGGCGTCGGCCAGAAGACCAACGAAAGTTCATCAACGGATAGAAGTCCGACGACGGGTAGAAGTTCGACGTCCGGTAGAAGTACGACTTTGGGTATAAGTACAGTGTTGGGCAGAAGACGGACGAAATTCCATCGACGGTTAGAATTCTGACGATGAGTAGAAGTACGACGAAAAACAGAAGTCCAACGTTGTCTAGAAGTACGGCGTCGAGCAGAAGACCGCCGAAAGTCCATCGACGGGCAAAATTCCGACGACGAGTAGAAGTTCGTTGACGAGTAGAAGCTCGATGACAGGGAGAATTCCGACGTTGGGTAGAAGTACTGTGTTGGGTAGAAGACTGATAATAGCCCATCGACAGGTAGTAGACTGACGGCTTGCAGAAGTTCGACGTCAGGTAGAATTCCGATGAAAGTCTTGCAAGGTAAAAGTTCAGTAATAGAAAGAGATTCAACATCGGGTAGAAATTTAACTTTGTGGAGAAGTCTGATGGAAGTCCTTTGACGGCATTATGACGACATTAACCAAGGATGTAAGACCTATCCGAGGTTGTATGTTAGAGCCTTTGCTTAATGTTTTTAACATATATTGGATTCACCAAAGATGTGAGACCTATCCGAGGTTGTATGTCGGAGCTTTTTCTCAACGACGTTAACATGTTTGGAAGAGGTCGAGATAATCCACCAAGAATATGAGACATTTTTGAGGTTGTATGTAAGAGCCCTACTCGATGAAGTTAACTTGTGTGGAAGAGGTCAGGAGAATCCACCAATGACGTTAGACCTATCCGAGGTTATATGTAAGAGCCTTGCTCGATGACGTTAACCTGTGTGGAAGAGGTCTGGAGAATCCACCAAGAATATGAGACCTTTCCGAGATTGTATGTCAGAGCCCTACTCGATGACGTTAACCTATGTGGAAGAGGTTGGGAGAATCCACCAAGGATGTTAGACCTATCCGAGGTTGTAAGTTAGAGCCTTGCTCGATGACGTTAACCTGTGTGGAAGAGGTCGGGAGAATCCACCAAGGATGTAAGACCTTTCCGAGGTTGTATGTCGGAGCCTTTGCTCGACGACGTTAACCTGTGTGGAAGAAGTCGAGAGAATCCACCAAGGATGAAAGACCTTTCCGAGATTGTATGTCGGAGCCTTTGCTCGACAACGTTAACCTGTGTGAAAGAGGTCGAGAGAATCCTCCAAGAATGTAAGACCTATCCGAGGTTGTATGTCGGAGCCTTTGCTCGACGACATTAACCTGTGTGGAAGAGGTTAGGAGAATCCACCAAGGATGTGAGACCTATCCGAGGTTAAATGTCGGAGCCCTGCTCGATGACATTAACCAGTATGGAAGATGTCGAATCGAATCCCTTTGGGATTGATTTTGCCTTGATTGGGAGGGGGCGAACGCCGCGTTTATCCCGAATAAAAGATAAAAAAGGGTCTATCTTTAGACCGTTACTATCTTTTTGAGGTCTAGATCAAGACCTTGCCCAAGGAGTAGAGATCCAGCAAGGGACTATATAAAACTTGTAATTGATTGGAAGTATCCTTGCTATCGCTGGAATTTTCTTGAAATATCATCTTGATATAGAAAGCATCAGAGGACCTTTTTGACCAGAATTGGGGTCAAAGTTGCCCCCAGCCCACATCTGATGCAACAATGACTGATGTCAGGAATTTGATAAGAGCGATCTTTTGAGATTGGAGCAAAAGTTGCCCCCCCAGTCGGGAACCATGTTCCCACAGACGGGGCCAAACTATTGTGTCCAAGAGTATACGCAGCGGTAGAGAAATATAAAGTTTATCGTCTTAACGTTGTACGAAAATTCGGCATGCAATCAGATAAGAGAGAGGGTCTAGCATTTATGAGACACCAAGACTTTTACGTGAAAAACCCCTGAAAAGGGGAAAACCACGGGGCCTAGCCTAGTTTGAATGAATCCACTAGTATTGTAGTCGATTACAAATGAGGCCCTTCCTTGGGAGAAGGCCTTAGCTTGATGTACATTTTATAGAGAACATTACATGATATGAATACAAAGAATCACTATTGACATGTTCGTTTGGTCGGAAGGACCGTAATCGGCTGGCAACGGAGGTCGGAAGGCTTGTAGTCGGTGGGCGACGTAAGTCAGGAGGACCATAGTCGACTGGCGATGGAGGTCGAAAGGACTGTAGTCGGCGGGCGACGTAAGTCAGGTGGACCGTAGTCGGCGGGCGATAAAGGTCAGAAAGATTGTAGTCTAACGACGAAGATAAGAAGGACAACGTCAGGTAGAAGTCCAATAAGGAAAAAAATCCATCTTCACGTAGATGTCGAGCGAAGTCCGATAACCGGTAGAAGTCTGGCGTCGGGTAGAAACTTGGCGAAGAGTAAAGTTTCGACGTCGGGTAGAAGTCCAACGTCTGTTGGTGGCAGAGGAGAACTCCGGCTTCACTTGGGCGGAGTTTCGGCGTCAGGACGGAACTTTTTTGCAAATTGGGAAGAATTTCAGCATCACGTGAAAGTTGGGCAGAATTCCTGTGTTCTCCCGAATATCACTCAGAATCCCGGTGTGTTCGGGCGGCAGGGCAAACTCCGGCGGTGGTCGAGGAGGAGAGGATTCTCCCTTTCCCCTTTTTCATCTTCTTTCCTTCTTCTTCTTCTCTCTTCACTTGAGTCCCCTTTGTGTAGAATGAGGGCTCTATTTATAGTTTTTCTGGAGTGGCATAACTTATAAATAGGTTTGAGATCATGGGCGAATAGGGAGTGATTTGAATGGACGGCTGATATTGAACCCTTCGATTGTGTACCGTTCGTTGGACATTTGGAGGCCTTAGTGATGTCGGAATTCGGCGATCTTGGGCTCGTTGTATTCTTCTCGTCGAGCCGCTCGATTCGAGTATAAGCTCGTTAAAATTGGAGACCGTTTGGGAACTCAAATGACGGTTTGAACCTTCCAACAGAGCTTCAAGTCCTTGATTTGGACCCATTTGGGCTCGGATTAGGTTGAATTTGGTGTCGTTGGGTTCTTACTTCCGAGACGCTCAGTTTGACTATAAGCTCGCAGAAATCGGAGTTCGGGTGCTCCCGGAATTAATTTTCGAAGTTTCCAACTAGCTTTTTGCCTCGAGATTCGTGCCCGATCAAGATAAATTTGTAATGACGTATCAATTCTGATAAATTTCGGCTTACTTTCATTATTTAAAATCAATTTCGAAATTGTTTTAAATATTTTTTTTTTCATTTTCAATATTGCCTGATTTTAAGAATTTCTATTCAAGCTTTAAAAATTGTAATGAAATTTCGCATAAAATAAAGAAAAAGTACATAAATTTCAGACAAAACTTAATTAAAATTGCCGAACAGTTTGCGAACTCTATTCTCCTTCCATCGTACTGTTAAACAAAATTCATATCCTCTAACTTAATCATATTTATTTGATATTTAATTCATTTAAACATCTAATTTATATTCAAAACAAATCAAAATAAAATTCATCAAAAAAAAAAAAACTAATAAAATTATAAAAAATGAAACTTTCGCGATATGCTCGAAGCCTAAAATATTTTAAAGATACGATCTAGAGACTGTACATCAGATGATTAAACTAAATCTCTCCAAAAACATCAAAATGAAATAAAAATGATCTAAATTAAAAAAAAAAAAAAACAGAGCCGGAAAACTCCACCAACTCTTTCACTGACCCTCAAAATTCACATCCCCACCACCTTCCCCCGCCGCCGGAATCCCCTCACCACCATCTAGCCATCTCTCCATCGGCGCACAATCCAACTTATGCGCAACTTTCCAGTGCATCGCTTGACACGCTCTCGAACAATAATTCACAACACCGCAAACAGAACATCGCCGAAACTCATGCCTCCTCGTCTCCGGCCTCCCGCACGCACCATGCGAACACATCCTCAATCCTTCCCTATCCCTTCCCTCTCCTTTCCCCTCAAACCACTCCACCATAAACCTATTCACATCATGTTCTTGCACCGCCGGCACGGTACACCCAAAATCACTAAGCAAAGAACTCGCCGCAACGGCCAAAGACCCCGCCTTTTGATTCGAAAAAACCGAAGTAAGTTCCCGTGCGTTGGCCAGAAGCAGAAATCTACGCCCTTCGCCAATGTTTTGTTTAACGCCGTAGCCGTCTTGAAGACAGTGGCCGAGCTCTCTTAGCGCGTCGATATGGCCAAAATACGCCGCCCGTGCGCAAAGCGCGACGCCGGCACGGAGATCTTTCTCGTTTTTAGATCCGCCGCTGCCGTTAAACTGGATGACGGCGAGCGAGTAAAGCGCTGCGGAGTGGGAACCCAAGGCCGCTTTTGCCATCATCGCCGCACCACTTCCCCGGTTTTCTAAGCAGTAGAAGCGGATCATCCCAAGCGTGTAACAGGCTTCCAGGCTCCCGGCGTCGGCGCATCTCTTTAAAAATTGGTGTGCCGATTCAGACCAAGTGGTGGCTCTCACAGAAAGCCCTTTTGCTGAAATTATAGACAAAACCATCGGATGCGTTCCTAATCCATTGAATCTCCTGCATCTGACAAATCATGTTCAAATCTTGTTTAGAATATGGGTTAAAGATTGGAGCTTTTAAAAAACAGAGCTAAAAGCTTACGTGAGGAGAAGGTTGATGAGATCGGAGGGAGAAGAGGCAGTGGACGAAAGTTTGGACAAGATGAGGAGAACGAGATCGTCCGGAAGACCGTCAAAGAAATCGACTGCTTTCACTGAAGCACAAACACGCTTCCGGCTAGCTCCGGCGGTTTGGCCATCATGTCTCGCCAGCGGCGACTTCGAGAGCTTGAGTCCGCTTCGTGTGTGCATAGATCGATCTTCTAAATTAGCGATGCCTCCTACGGTCCAGTGAGATGACCCTCCCCTCTTAAATAGTTGATCCGACAAAGGTAGGAAGACGAAATGGGGGGCACCGGAGCACAATGGGCAGGCGGCATTGCAATGACATTTTTGTCCTCAAGGATTTGTTTAGTTAGGCGTTTAGTCAAAACACGTTGACAGTTTTCTCTGTTTGCGTTTTTGAACGGAAACCGTCTTATATTTAACGCTCTGGGACTGGTAGTGTTGCTAAATTCCGTTTTTCTAAAGAAAATTACTAAAAGTAGTTATTAATTAAGTTAAGCATAATAAGGTATTTTGCCACATGGCGATGGTGGGGTACGCTTAGGCCGGCAACTGTAACGGTAATGGTGAATTTTGCGTTCAAATTCGGAAAATGTGAGTATTAATGGGCTGCTTCGGCGATTGGTTGGAATAAAAGATAATTAAGTCTTCTAAAGGGCATTAATTTTAAAAAAACAGCAAGAAAATTTTCCAAAGGAAAATTCCAAAGGAAACCTTAGATCCCATGTCTGTTTCTGCTTCTTTTATTTTTATTCTTGCACAGTTTGGATGGCAAATATCTTTTAATATCTCATTTTGTAAATTATAAATAAAAATATCAAAACGTGTGTGGTATATATAATGAAAATTTAACATCAGAATAAAAGAAGAAATACCATGGATTTTTAATTTCTTCGAGAAACATATTTTAAAGTTCATTTCGAATCAAAATGATTTATTGGCATAAATATTTCATCCCAATGATGTTCAAGTATTATTTCAAGATGAGTTCTAAATAATCTTGCTCAAATTCATAACTTAAAATTTTACCTTTTTTACTTAAAACTCTAGATAACTCTAGTAATAGCCTAGTACACCTCAATCATATCAAATTCAATTTCTAAGTCCTAGATATAATCTTTCTTAATTCATCCTAGTTAGAGAAACTTATCTTAGCTTTAGTATTTGTTAGATAGGAAATGATCTTATAATGACAATATTATTTTATTAGATGAAGAATGGATGGTAAGTGAAAATTTTAATTTTATTTTAGAACATCAAATTTTCTTCAACTTCCTTTCAATGAGTTTGCCATTAGCCATCCTTAAGGCAAAACCTTTTCTAAGCTTAACATTAGTTAGTCTCAATAGACACAATCAACGAGTGAGCATTAAATTATTTTCTCATATAATTCATTGCCATTGCTAGGTCTTGAGCCCTGGCTGAAAGAAAATGGAGGGTTGCGTTAGATTGTCAACAATCAGCATAAAACTTATTGAATAATTATGACCTGAATCATTTAAAATATTGTGTTAATGCAAGGGTGTACCTTATAAGCGATGTATTATATGACCTGAATTATGAGATCTCTGTGACCTATTAAATTTCTGCATTTAAATTTTCTAGCATATATTTGAGCAAGATTTGTGTGCATGAGAAAGGGTTGCATGTATTCTATATTAGATTTCATTATTTTAAAGGATACTTTTTAAATGTGAAATTTCCTCTATAGCACCTCGACACTGTATGTTTCATCAATTCAACACTATGTTCTTTGCACTCTAGCACTATGATTTGATGAATCATCGTTGAAGTCTTAGGTATTTCAACGCTCTGATGTGCGGCGGCATTGGAAAGTTCTAAGGGAGTGTCATCAATAGTGTTATATTATGTCGCGACACTAATCCAAATTTTAATATTAAAAATATAGAAATCCACTATTAAATTAATTTTGTTTGATTGTAGTCGTCAAGAAGAAGAGAGAAAGAGAGAGTTTGGGTGAGAAAAATCAGAATTTTGAGCTGGTTTTAGCCATTGGTCCAAATGAAAAAGTTGTCCAGATTGAGATACGTCACATTATACCTATCTCATTTTTAAAAATATGAAGTTTTCTAATATTCTTTTATTAAATTTTTATTTCTTTTGTCGAAAAATGTCGATAACTTTGTATTAGTAAAACTTTTACCATGTAACTTTTTATGTTCTATAAAAACTGAGATTATAAATATTTTTCAGGATTCTTTAGAAATTGTATATCGAATTTTTTAAAATTTAATAGAATTTTTTTTATATTGAAAAATAATGTCGTAGCACAATTAAAGTATTGAAATGAGTTTTATACAATCCTTCATAATTTTATTTTGTATTGAAACTGTGAAATTATACTAAGTAGGTATTCTTGTTACAAACCATTATATAAAATTATTTAATTATCGAATGTGTTCAATTTTGGTTAAACTGTTACTGTACGATAAATATGTGATTATGTGATTAGAAGATGACTGCTGGGCGATATAAGGAGCTAGAATTCTTTGAGATTATATTTGCATTTGAGAATATTTTGGTCCCTATATGCATATTTTGGTGGCTAAAAAGTCAAATTATTGTTGCTATGAGCTATATTATGTTGCCTATAGGCATGTTCTTGTGCTATAAGTATAAAAGGGAGTCATAATGGACTAAAATACTCTGAGAATCTATTTGAGATCAGAAAATGTGATATGAACTATTTTGTGACATGAACCATTTTATGATATGATTTTCTGTTTAGTTAACTACTTAGTATTAGTATTTTAATCATTGGATGACTGCATTGCTCTTTATACCTTTCTTGGTATGATGATTTAATATACTATATTTAACTAATTTTATATACTCTAAAAATTGTTTAATAAAGGAACATAAAAATTTAGATTGGTTTCTGTGGTATGCCCAGATAATTAAGCTCATTGTGGTTTTGCTTCTAATTTTTAGGAACTAGGAAAGGGAAGGAGTCTATTGATTAGCAGTTTATGATATGATCGGAGTTATTATGTATTTATTTTGTTGATTTTTGTATAATCATGGATAATTTATTATTTAGTTTTAGAGCTTATATTTGTAGCCATGTATTATATATTATAGTGCAGATACATTTTGATAAAATAAAAAGTGATTTTATTGATGAGTTTATTTGTAGTGCTTTGAAAGTTATTAGTAGCTTTGTAATGTATAGTTTATTTTAGTGTTTAAATTAGAAGAAAAATTCCAAAATATTTTTCAAAATGAGATCTTGAAATTTGCTTGTCATAGTAGATGGTGGCTATGAAGTGAACATTTGAATTGTATAAAAATTTTTGGTTAGTAGCTTTGTAATGTATACTTTATTTTAGTGTTTAAATTAGAAGAAAAATTCCAAAATATTTTTCAAAATGAGATCTTCAAATTTGCTTGTCATAGTAGATGGTGGCTATGAAGTGATCATTTGAATTGTATAAAAATTTATGGCTCTATCACCCTAAATAATGCTTATATTTTCTTTGATATAAATAATAACAAAATATACTTAATATACTCAAGTATACGTGCTGAATCAAGTAATAAAGTGATAGAGTAGAGTTTCTAACACACAAGAAAATATGCTTGCAAAAAACTACTATAATTTACTCTAATTACAATAATTATTTTACTAAAATAGAAATGATAGTTTTGAAGATTCCATCACTAAATAAATTAGTAAAAATTTTGGATACAATATTTAATTAATGTATTTTGCATTGATGAATTTAAATTTTATATTATTTCTAATGAGACTCTTCAAGGTAATGTGATTAAGATCACATTCATCACTAAATTTTTATCGAGCTTGTAAGGGTGAAAAAAATATATGGTGACCTTCTACAGTTAAAATCTCTCCTAATGAACCTAGAACATTTTACATTCTATGTCTAGGCATGCAAACATCTTATCTCAATCCTCCTGATTATTTTTGCATTTCTCTGTTGAGGTTATATATCATACTAAATTATAAATACATATAGTCACTATGTGCATTAAATAAAGAGAAAGAAAATATTGAAAACAACTTTTAACAATTATGAAATAAGAGACTTTATTAGTATTCAACATGAATTTTACTTGATCAATCTAAAATAAGAAAATTAGCCAATTATAGAATGAATAATGAACAAACTCATTTTCATTAAACTCATGGAAGAATAAAAATATTAGAGAGTGATATCACCAAAAAGAATCAAATCGGCCCCTCTATACTCCTCCCTTTAACTTATAAATTTATTCAAGAAACACAAACTAAATATTCCAGATGATTCTATCTTATACTTCCTTAGCCTCCCTTAGATTTTATTCTAGGAGGAAACAAGAGAAGTAGTCTAGAAAGTACAAGATTTTACACAAGTGATTGACCTCTCTTACAAATATAACATTATAACTATTATAAAAAAATATAAAAAAGGCATATAACATTGTGGCGCTTGAAAGAATGGAATCGTGGCGCCCCTAAAGTAAACTAGTGGCTTGGCACTGAAGCATTTGCACCACTGTTGTGCTTGGTGACCTAGATCAGTTACTTCATGAACAATCACATATCTTCATTGATAAAATATGGCCCTAGGAAGTTACAACTACAATTCCATAGTGCTATTGCCATTTGAGCACTGCAGCGCCCAAGTACAAAAATGGGCTAAGGTGTGAAAAGTTATGGCATCGTGCATTTAAAAATAGAAAATATGGCATTGCCAAGATAAATTTTTTACTTCTCAATGCTACGTTTAGTTTATGTTGCCACTATAGTGCTTGTAAATAGAGTTCTTGGCACCACAATATCAAAATTTGGGTGCCTCGGCAGTATTGAAGGTAGCTCAGCGATGTTGTTTTGTAGGATGCTGCGACGTTGTAGGTTTCTTTGAATTTTTGCCATTTTTTGAGTTTTTTCAACACAAAATAACTAAAATAATATATTTTCAGTGAAAATAAAATATATAAAATATTATGCAATTTTCACATATCAATTTCTTCCTAGCTTAAACTTTTGTTTATCCTCAAGCAATTTAAGAAATATATAATTTTCATTAATCAAATTACCAAAATAAGAATTAAAAATTTAAAATTACTAAAATATAGGACAATATATCACAATCTAGAATTAGTGGAAATTAACAAATCTATAATTCTAGTTGGGAAAATACTAACAATTATCCTAACTAGTCATATTTATCATTACTTAATTTGAATTCACATGTTATAAATATAATCATTAGCTTTTGAATTCTAAATTATAGCTT